GCCTACTCTCAGATAGCTTTCTCTTTCCTACTATTCAGGACACCCTGTCTAGGGAATGGTGTCTCCCACAATAGGCTGGCTATCACTACATCAATTAGCAATCAAGACAGGCCTTCACAGCCATTCCAGTAGGCCAACCTGATCTGGTAAACTCCTCATTGAGACCCTCTTCCAGGAATTGTATGCTGAGTCAAGCTGACAGTTAAAACTCATCAGCAGAGCTATACAAAGATTTAACATGGTATTTGCTACTTCAGTGAATCCCAACAGTGACCCCCTGGATAAATACTAATGGCATTGGAATTAATGTGTTTTTAGGATAAGAAATAGTTCAAAGTTGTTAAATTCTACCTATTGTCGAGTTAGACTAATATCTGTCTTCCCACTCTGGTCATCACCTTCATGCTGTTCTGACTTGCCCTACAATCATACAGCAGGGGTGGATAGATAGATACTACTTCCAATGATACACCTGTTTGATGTGATTTGCCAGACAACTCTCAGAAATAACTAACAGTGGAAACTTCAGTCATCTTGATGTCATCATAATTCCATAACTGTACCCAAACTACAATTTTCCCAAGACAAATCTGTGTGGATCCACTCATTATCACTTTTGTCTCTCTTTCCATCAGAGACTTTGTAGTCCAGCTCTGGGTGATGGTAGGCTGGTCAGTGAACACCAGCTGGTGTGTCTCTGGGTTAGTTAACAGCAAGATATTTGGTCATTAATAAGAAAAAAGATGCATCTCTTCTGCTTCATTGGCAGTAATAACAATTGCCTTGTAAGTTAAAAATTTCCTAATCTATTGTAGGAAAGGTCTACATACATACATATATAGGCTCAAACTCACAGTAAAAGTTCTATAGTCTCGTATTTTGTATACTGATATTTTATCTAAATTTTATGAGAGTTAGAAGAAAAATTTAAAGCCTTCTCCTAAACTGGGATTAAATGAGAAATGAATGTTGAGTCAATGATGGGGCCTAAAGAGATGAATCAACTGTTAAGAGTACATACTGCTCTTGTAGAGGATCTGAGTTTAGTTTCCAGACCCCATCTCATGGCTCAAAGCCTTCTGAAATTCCAGCTCTAGGAGATCTGATGTCTCTGGTCTCCATAGACACACACACACACACACACACACACACACACACACACACACACACACACTCACACACACACACAAATTAAGACTAAAAATGAATCTTAAAAATAAGTCAATGACTAAGTATCCAGATTTTGTCACCACTTATTTATCCTTAGTAGGATGAATTTGTCTTTTTAAAACCACATTGTAGAGCTGAAGAGATTAAGAGTGCTTGTAGTAGCATCATGAACATGAGTTCAGATCCAAGCACCTACATAACAAGCCAACCACAAAAGCCTGAAAACAGTTCTGAAGGATCCCACATCATCTTCTGACTTCTGTGCATGCATCAGTGTGAACATTCATACTCACCTGTGTGCACACACACAAAGAGGTTCACAATCAATCAATCAATATCAATCAAATCATTATATCAAGCAAAGCATTATAAAGTTCAGGAATGTAGCTCAGTGGTGGAACCCAGTGTGCCTGGAACCCTGGATTTAGTCCTCAAGCCTGTAATAATAGTAGTGATAAGAATGATGACAGGAGGTGATAGTTGTACAAAGAATGCAAGTTCACAGTAAAAACTGAAGAGAAACATCAACAAAAGAAGACAAGAAACCCATGATGTGGCTAAGAAATAAACACTTAAAAGGAAGCATAAGATCCAGATATTGCTCAAACATTTTATAATGATACAAGCAGACATTTGATTTTAGGTATAAACTTTTCATATTTGTTAACAATTTTTTTCATCTAAGTATTTTCGTGATATAGTGTTATTGTGGATATAACACAATGTACAAACACTTTGTACATTTTATCTGTTACTTATTGTGGCTAAAGAATCATTATCTTTTTGTAAACTTGCATTAAATAATCCTTTCCTATGTGTATGTTGTATCTTGAATTACTTGTTCAAACAACATTCTTTGAAGTGTAAATACCATGTCAAGAAGGAACTACAACACAAGGCTTCCCATGTCTGATACTAGGGTTTAAAAAAAGATAAAAAAGCCACATTTAAAAAAGATCAATATTAAAAATTCAATATCTATTAGTTTTATAAAATGAAGAAATAGAAATAACCAAAAGGAAAACAATATGTTGAAAACTAATTATTATTCTATCATATGTTTATAGTCATGTATGGGTTCATTATTTTTCCCACACCTGTATGCATATAAATATATTCAATATCATTTTTATTATACATCAATCTATATTTTGGTCATGTATTTAAATATCTCTCTAGAACAATGTTTTTTTTTTCCCAACAAATTTCCTACTTGTCGGGTAATTGAAAACACTTGCTGAATGAATGACTAAGTCAATAAAATTCAATTGATTTTGGAGATGTCAGATCGTTACTATTTTATTTAATACAAATATCTTTAGTACTTATTCATGCATATTATCTTCACCCACAGCAGTTCAATAACGATTTGTGGGGCTCTATAATGTACAATTAGAACAGTTCTGGTAATAGCGCAGCAGGGTGATTACATCAAAACATGCCAGAAATGAATTCACTGGAAATTTGGAGCATAGATCCTCTATTGTAAAGCAACGAAGAATTCAAATGACTGAAATCGGTGGTCTGTGTCAGAAGCCAGAGGATGCGTCATAAGGTAGATGGGTGGGAGGAAGTGGGGAAGCAGGAACGCCGCAGACTTAAAACACCAGAAACTAACGGAGTGCATACATGTAAGAGCTTGATCTGTGAGGAGCAAACAGAAAAAGGAATCAAATCAAAACAAACTGAAAAATTGGAGACTATAACCACTATATATTGTGAGTTCAAAAAGCTCCTAAAATATCCATATGCAGTATGAAAAAGGTGGCTATGAGCCTGAATGCAAATGAGATGTCAGAGGGATGAGAGACTGTCCTGTGCAAACCTAAGCCAGCAGATTAGGTGACCTTGGTGAAGTCTATACTTTTCAAGGAAATTGTCATGGGATAAATTACTTGAAGATGATATAGCAAATCTGAACCAAGCAGTGACCTTGACAACTTAAAAATTCCATCACAGAACTCTTTTTTAAAAGCCAGACACAGAGAGGTTCACAATTGCAATCTCTCAAATATTCAAAGAATGATTTCTGTGCTATCTGAGCTCCTACAGAGAAGTAGAAAATAAACATCCACCGTTTAGGATGCTAACATCAGCCTCATGATGATGAGAAAGCTGACAAAAAATAAATAAATAAATAACCCAGAGAAGAAAATACTGGTGAGCTGAATGCATGATGCAAATACACTAACTATAATTGAAATATTATTTGGACTCAACACTAAAAAGAGCAGTAGATGATGACCAGTTATGTTTTTGCTTTGTTTTAAATTATTTTTACTTTTAGATGTATTTATTTTCATTTTGTGTTAGTACTTGTTTTGCTTGCATTTATGTATATGTACTACCTATCTGCTTGATCTCAGAGGGGTTCAGAAAAGATCACCAGGTCCCCTGAAACTGTACTTATAGATGGTTGTGAACTACCATGTAGGTGCTGGAACACATTTCAGGTCTTCTGAAAGAGTAACAAGTGCTCTTAACCACTGAGCCATCTCTTCAGTCCTGAATGGTGTTTTTAAACATGATTTTTTTTGGTGTTTTCAAGACAGGGTTTCTTTGTGTAGCTTTGGAGCCTGTCTTGGAACTCACTCTATAGATCAGGCTGGACTTGAAGTCACAGAGATCTGCCTGCCTCTGTCTCTTGAGTGCTGGGATTAAAGGTAGGTACCACCACCGCCCTGCTTTAAACATGATTTCAACAGCGTTCTGCATTACAAAATCTGTTTAACAAAGGCTATGAGTTATCCTGACTGCATTAGCCTAGAAATAACTTCAGTGCTAAAATAGGGAGACGGCCTACACGCAACTGGAAACTTCTTAAAATACCATTTTCACCAAATCTTTAGATCTAGATGCAGATGGGAAGTGTTCGGAGGCGTCTGTTAAATTCCAACATGTCTCAGTGGCTTACGTGGCTCGTCATTCAGTGTGTTTTGAGAAGGAAGAGGAGCTATGTTATTGTGCTTCATTGAGACAGACCTGTGCAGCACTGTTCACTAGCTGCATTCATAACAGTAAAAATGAGAAAACCTCTGAGTGTTCACTCAAGAAGAACGAATCTACAAGCTTGTGTTCTTATGCACTAGCACGCTGCCTGGCAACAGGAAAGAATGAATGGCTGATCTGTGGGACAATGTAGCTGCATCTCAAAACCAGCCTGGCTTTAACAAGCAGACTAAACCAGGAGAGGAGACACTGTGGTTCCCTTTTTATAAGATTCTACAGTGGGAAAACCAGTACACAGCCAGAGAAAGTGGAACAGTAGCCTAGGGGAGAATGAAGAGTGACTAGGAAGGAGTGACAGAACTTTCCAGAATCACAACAGGATTTGAAAGTCACTTTCACTTCTCGAGATAGCACCAGACAAGCCTTGCCTATGAGTTTGCTGACTTGGCTGGAATCTTAAGGAGTTCCCAATTCCCAGCCTGGGACACCATTACCCTACCCCACATCCCCTACCACTCACTTACCCCTCTGCCACCACCACCACCACCATCACCACCATCCCTACCACACAGCCCCTGGCACTGCACAGCCAGGAGTGGAAAAGGTGTGGCCACTACAGTCTGGCAGGGTTCTTTAGACATAAATCATTGAAAAGCCAAAGAAGCCAGTCACACAATGACACTTTGAGAAGGTCACGGCTTTCCCCAGAGGTGAAGAGCTGCCTAGTGTGGCACTGTTCGGTCCAGGAAGCCTGGCTGGAGCAACAAGAGAATGAAGAAAAGACACAGGAAAACTGGGATTGGGTGGGCTGTGCACCATCTGATGGAACAGTACCTTCTACATAACAACTGGGAAACTCAGCCTGGTCATTATGTACATACAGGAGGAGGGTTGGAAGGTCTCTGTAGAGAGGAGTCTCAGGCTGTGAACATCCGAAGGAGCATGTGCATGCTTTCTGTACACTCCATCAATGTTTCTTCAGACAAGAGAAGGCTTTGCCAATTCCCAAGGGTGTCTTTGTTACATCTTTGGTGATGTCAGGACTGGACCTCCAGTCGGAACTTCCTTTGCTCCTTACATGTTCATATCCTCCACTTCCTACAAGCAATAGTGTAAAAACACCAGCAGTAGAAATAGAAAATTTGTAGCAGCTGTGCTGGATAGTGTCATGTCAATTTGACACAAACTGAAGTCATCTGAGAGGAGAGAACCTCAATTAAGAAAATGCCTCTAGCTGGATTGGGATGGCACAGGATTTTAATCTCAGCACTTGGGAGGCAGAGGCAGGTGGATCTCTGAGTTTGAGGCCAACCTGGTCTACAGAGTGAGTTCCAGGAGAGAGAGAGAGAGAGAGAGAGAGAGAGAGAGAGAGAGAGAGAGAGGCAGAGATTCAGAGACAGAGACACAGAGACAGAGAAAAGAAAAATGCCTCTATAAGATCAGGCTGTACACAATATTATAGGGCATTTTGTTTGTTTGTTTGTGTTTGTGTGTTTGTTTGTTTATTTGTTTTGAGACAGGGTTTTTCTGTGTAGCTTTGCAGCTTTCCTGGAACTCACTTGGTAGCCCAGGCTGGCCTTGAACTCACAGAGATCTGCCTGATTCTGCCTCCGGAGTACTGGGACTAAAGGCATGTGCCACCACTGCCTGGCTGTAGGACATTTTCTTAATGATTGATAGGGAAAGGCCCAGCCCATGGTGGGTGGTGCTGTTCCTGGGCTGGTGGTCCTGGGTTCTATAAGAAAGCAGGCTGAGCAAGCCAGGGGAAGCATTCCAATAAGCAGCTACCCTCCATGGCCTCTGCATCAGCTTCTGTCTCCAGGTTCCTGCCCTGTTTGACTTCCTGCCCTTGGTGCTTTTTATGATAAACTGTTGTATGGAACTTTGAGCAAAATAAACCCTTTCCTCCCCAAGTTGCTTTTGGTTATGATGTTTTATCACTAACTGAGACAGCAGCAAATTTTTTTTTTAAGAAATTTTCTATTCATTTTACATATCAACCACAGATTCCCCTCTCCTTCCTCCTCCCACCCCCCAGCCTTCTCCCCAACCCACCCCTCATTCCCACTTCCTCTAAGGCAAGGTCTCCCATGGGGAGTCAGCAGAGCCTGGTACATTCAGATGAGGCAGGTCTAAACCCCTCCTCCCTGCACCAAGGCTGTGCAAAGTATACTAAAATAGGCACTGGGCTTCAAAAAGCTGGCTCATGCACCAGGGATGGAGCCCAATCCCACTGCCTAGGTGCCCCCTAAACAGTTCAAGCTAAACAATGAGATAGCAGCAAATTTAAAGGTAGCATATAGAATGGGTTTGAAAAAGTTAGGCTAAAGCCTAGAGAGATGGCTTAGCAGTTAAGAGCCCTTGCTGGTCTTGAAGAAGACTTGAGTTTGGTTCCCAAGATTCACTTTGGGTGACTCACAACCACTTGTAACACCAGCTCCAGAAGTGCCAATTCCTGTCAGTTGCACTCATGTGCATGTTCTCTCCCTTCCTCCTACCCTCCTCCTCTCTCCCACTCTCTCTCTCTTTCTCTCTCCCACTCTCTTCCTCTTTTGCATACCACACATATACATACATGTATGCACATGGAATTAAAAAATAAAAAATATTCAGGTAATTGTAGTAGGACAGGCCCATAGGGTTGAGGAAATTGGCTCACACCAGTTGCCAAGGCATGCACATGACATACTTCCTTATGAGCCAACCTGGAGTCTGCCTGAGGGCCTAGCAACAGGAGTGGGCAGAGTTCCTGATCATACCCAGCCAATGAGGGACCACCACACAATGTCACCAGACTGGGACTCAGCCTGGGTACTGGGAGGAGGGTGTATAAGGCCTTCCCCATTATTGAATAAATGAGTCTGCTGTTTGCCTTCACCTGACTCCCAATGTCTGTGTGTATTGTTGATGCTGTACCTTCTCATCCCCTCCCCAGAGGGGGCTGTTAGGACCCAGTAACAGGTAATGACAAAAATCACCCTTTATACAAGTCGTCAATTCTCCTAAATTGACATGAATGTTCTAATCAAAGTTTTAGTGAATTTTCTATTTTCTTTTCCTCTTTGAAAATCTTACATCCATTTTCTCTATACATGAGGCAGAAAGGAACTGTTGCCAGGATATACAGGCCAATAGAGCAAACAAAAATCTCGAGTTAATGCTACCTTGGAATTTAAACTAAGATATGATAATTTTACCATTTTACCAAGTGCAAAGTGGGAAGAGGGCAGAGTTGTTTCTGTGTACGTTGGTCAACCACTGTCCTATTAAGAAAAATAATAAACTGAAACCCTCCATCCACCCATCACACAATAAACTCCAGTTAGTTAAAACAGAAGATAGTGTAAGAGAAGTGAGTGATTATACAAGTCTAGAGTAGTAAAAAACTGCAGAATTACATCAGAAATAAGAGTATTCTGACACAATCTGAACATTGACAGATTCAAATACGTAACAGCAGTTCCATGGGGATGAAACATAATCACAAAGACAAACTGCAAAGGGTTAGCAGCATATACCACAGACAAAGACATGTTCATGTTTTTATGACCGATTTTCTAAATCAACAGGAGCCATGCAGTTAAAATCTTATTTCTCCAGCTTGGAAAAATAGATGAACACTTTAAGCCAGGTACTTGTTTGAGGCATGGGGTGGGTATCTTGAGTACAATGATGGCAGTCTTGTTACCTTTTGTGGAAAGCAAAACATGTCCAGAACTTGTCAAATAGTCCCTGCGACACAGTAACTCCTCCTAGTCAAGAGATACTGGTCTAGAAAGAAATTTTCATGAGTTTTTTTCTCTGACAGAGTGAGGGGGTAGATTTAAAATAAGATGGATCTCTGCCCTCACTCATTTTCCAATTCCTAGTCCTGGAAACGTTCCATATTTCTGTTGCTGAAGCTGTAACAGTGGCAATAACCAAACCTCCCCCAGCTCTTGACCCCTCTTCGTCTCTCTCCCCCCACCCTCTGCTGCTGTCTGGCCCCTGAGTTTGTGGTCCATACCTGGTTCCAGGCCAGCACACTCACAGAACACAGTGGTCCTTTCCAATGTGTCCAACAGCCACATTCCCCTGCAAGCACAGTAATGACGTCTCAGGTTTCAAAGCTCCATGGAGTTTGTGATGACATGGAATTTAGAGTCCTGCTCTGACACTGCCTGGGGCTGCTGGGAAGGGACTCTCTGAGTCCTGTTGACACTGTTGTGTCCCACAGCTTCATGGTGGCTTGCGATAGGTTTTTCCAGCTTGACTCATGATCTCTTGAGGACTCAAAGGAGTCTGAACCGGAAAAGCAGCAGGCTTGTGAGGAGCTACATTTTGCTCCCAGCTGGCTGCTCTTGGTGTTGAAGGTGAGTCTGTTTTTATCACCCCTTAGAATGCTTCAGATTGTATAAAAGACTTGGGACTTTTCCAGGGAAATCTGCCCCTAGCTCCCTGAAGTGCTAAGAAATATCTGAATCTTCTCTAAGCCTAAGCCAGGAATATGCAGCCCTCCTAGAGAGAAGAGGGGAAAGATGGCTGGGAGAAATAAGACATGGAAAAGTTGAGAAGATGAATGGTCCCTGGGAGAGAGAGTTCATCCAGGGCTGGGTTGGGAGAGTTAGAAGAGGAAGTTGAAGCGTCTTGCCATGCCAGAAGTGCTCAAAAGATCTGAATGTGGCCAGACTGGAGGGGTTCCCCTCAGCCACATCTGGTGTCACTTTATCAACACCATAATAAACAGTAGTCACTTTTTAAGGATAAAATAAAAATCAAGAGTTGATGATGATTTTTTTTAAAAGGAGCAGATATAGAAGTTAGACAAAGTGAATGTGAGAGCATGGAAAGTTCTTTAACAGAGGGGTTACTACAAATGATGAACATGATGGTGATGGGCACAAAACTGCAGAGGCTGGTCCTGTGCAGAGGAAGGTGCAGATTTTCTTCAGGTTATCACTCTTCCTAAATACTATTTTCAAGTTTTAACTGCTTGTGTGATAGATGTGTAAATAGTCTCCTGTGAAGAGCTGTTCATATTCTAACACTCGAGGGCAATATTGTAGCCTATACTTGTGCTAGACAATCCTTGGCAGAATCTATCTTTCCTCCCCATTTACATACCTCAGACAGAAGGTCTTCCCAGCACAGTTGCCCTGAGCAAAGGCATTGTGCAGCCTGCAGAGTGAGTGGAACTGAAATTGAACCCATTGTTCTTTGTGTTAAAATGGCTGATGGATGTGGGGTTGTTTCTACCCACAATGCAACTGTTTCGTGATCACACATGGTCTTATCTTAGCTTGCTGTCCTACAAAATAGCCAGGACACATGCCTTTGTGATTCACCTACTACCAGTTGGAATCCTCCTTTGGTCATAAGGCTAAAGCCCTACAAAGCACATTGGCATTGGGACCATACAGCCCTGAAGCTAAGGCTGAAGTCAGAGCCGGCTAGGTGGGGGTTGTGCCAGGTTTTCAGTGCTCTGCTTTAGGGTTCATTGAGTTTGCTGGACCTTAGTTTATTTTCCTCCCTTGGATTCAGTGCTCTGTTCCAAGAATGTGTCCGGGTTCCTGCCATCCTAAAACTGGAGGAGTGTCCAAACATGTTAAGAGATCATCCTGATATCAATAAGAAGCTGGGCCAGCAGACGGCCCTCCGCCCACTGACTTTCTGATTCTTGAGCTTCTGAGTGTCCCTTCAGAAATCACCACCAGCCACCAGCACTGCTGGTTCTCTGAACAATGTTGTGCCTCCATCTTCTCCCAGAAGTCTTGCCTCTTTCTAGTGAGAGCTGCCAGTGAAGTGCCTTCTGGCCCCTCTTCTCTGTGGCCTTTTTTTCTTTAAGAGAGAAAGGTAGATCAATGGAATTTAATCAAAGATCCATATATAATTCTACACATGATATAGACACCTAATTCTGTATCAAAGATGTCAAAATTACACAATGGGAATAAGTAAGTATCTCCAACATATGTTGCTGGTATAACTGGATGTGAACATGTAGAAGAATGCAAATAGATCCATACCTAGTGCATGTTTTTTTTTTAAAAAAACAAGTTAGTCCACTAGGTTGCCTTAGAGTGCAGCACAGTGACATTTAGTGGAAGATAATTAGTGTGTATTATTAATGAAACCCAAAGATTATGATTTAAAACTAATTTATTGTTATATGATATAGTGAAAAAGTTATGTGTCAATGTGTCATGTGACAATGGCCTTTACTTTGGGAAGCAGTAATTCCTCATCAGATGTGGTGTTCAGTGGGAGCCCTTCTAAATTCTCACTGATGGCACCCTGCTGCTGGAATTTCCATTAGTTTATTTTCTAGGAGGGTGGAGTCAGATGGAGGATGGATGCAAACAGGAGTGTTAGGATCAATTTGCCTTCAGACATGTGCTTCCCAAAGAGGCTGCTGGACAAGCCTGAGATGGAGAAGAAAGCACCCAAGCATACCACAAACCATATGCTGCCACCAGGAGACTATTCCTGCCTGTGCTCCTCCTGGGCCACATGACTGGAGACTAAATAAATAAGTAAATTGAAAGCAGAGGATGATCAAAAAGACACCAAAGGACAGAGATACTGAGGAGAGATGTTCCAAGTTCTACTGTTCAGTGATACATAGGCCTGTCACCTGAGAGTCCAGTCTACCGTCCATCCTTTAAACTGTGGGTCCCTGCCTCATACAGGGTCATGTAACTGAATGGGTATGATGAAAAATATGGCAACAGTATTTTTTGAAGACATAATGACTGAAATTTAATTCACAATCAAATGCATAGCGTTTCTGGCAGAACTCTCTGTTTGGCTCTGCGTGACTTCACTGCCACCTTGGTTCCAAACCACTGCATGCGTGCTCTGCACTGTGCACCCCACCATTCCATGTAACATCATCAAGTGCTGCCTGAAAGGCCTCCACTTAGATTCCAAACCATTGTGTCCTCGACCTCAGAGTGCTATTACTGCGCTCGCAGGTTTTTGCTCTTATAGAAACATGGTGGTTAATGGGGGAGAACAAAGACTTTGAATGTTTTCCTACAACCAATCTTCAGCGTGCAAGTATCAAATTAGTACATTTTTAAAATTGTACTGTTAGAATATTTAATTTGTGGTTTGAGCTGCCGTCTTGAATTTCATTTTTTTTTTAAGTCATTAAATGAATTTTGGCTTGAGATTAGGGCCGAATGTCAAGAATTTCTGAAATGGCCTTAAATACACTTCTACAGTTTTATACTATATATTTATGCAAAGTAATTCTCAACATTGATTACTATAAAATCTAAGCATGAATCATCTTGGGCAAACACTAGCTGTTCGATCAGCCTGTCCAACATGGGCCATATACAGACAAGGATAGCTACGGATGTAGTCTAACACAAAGTCAAAAACTTACTTAAGCCATTGGGAGACATTTGTTTGTTTGCTTTTGTGACTCTACCGGGCAGCTCTCAAGCATCAACTCTGTAGATGACAGATTCATGTTAGAAAACCTGAAGAGATGGCTCAGCAGTTAAAGGTAGAGAACTGCCCTTGTAGAAGACCTGAGTTCAGTTCCCAGAACCAACTTTGGGAAACTCACAGATGTCTGTAACTTCAGCTCCAGGGGATCCAATACTCTCTTCTGGCCTCTGAGGGTACCTGTACTCATGCACACATATCTACCCCCCTACTCTCCACACACAGATGTACACACAATACTCACAATTAAAAGAACACACCATGTTAGAATGTCAACAGGCTAGATGTGCCTGTGAGGCTACATTCTGAAATATCAAATAGTCAATATTTAATATTTTTAATATAAAATTCAATAGTTTATTTAAAATTAAACAAGCACACTGGGCAATGATGGCACACACCTTTAATCTCAGCACTCTGGAGGCAGAGGTAGGCAAATCTCTGAGTTTGAGACCAGGCTGGTCTACAGAGTGAGTTTCAGGACAGCCAAGGCTACAGAGAGAAACCCTGTCTCAAAATAAATAAATAAATAAATAAATAAATAAATAAATAATAAAACTAAACATGCATACCCATCTCAGCATAAAAATGTAACAAATTATGTGTATACCTAAAAACTTTAATGAAATAAATTTCTTTATGATTTAATATTAGTAAATGCTTGATTTGGTTATCTTTTTATGCTTATATCATTGGGGTCCTGAAAATGTTTTTGGGCAAAGAGGTTGTGAACAGGGAGGAACAGAAAGCTGGATCTGTTGTCCCATGTCTGGGACTCGCTTCTTTCCCTGGCCCTGTGCTGTCTGGGGACCACTGCAGCTCCAGCTAGCCAGCCACACTCAGGACGTGTCTGGGGAGCTGAAGAAGGGCAAAGGGAGCAGGTGACAACATCCAGCAACTGCAAACAAACCTTGGAGGTAAGCCTTGCAAGGACAGGGTGGTTCTGAGCACAGCCCATTTCCATCTAGTTGTGGAAGATGTTTCTAGAAAGAAAAGTAATGGCTGCAAAATGAAGGGCCTGATAGATTTTCTCTCTGTCTGCTTCTATCTCTGTCTCTGTCTCTCTGTCTCTATGTCTTTCTGTCTCTGTGTCTGTCTCTGTCTCTCTTTCTCTCTTTCTCTGCATCACAGCAGGGGAGACAATGGAAAGTTTGAGATAGATTATACTCATAAGTTAATTCAATAATCATTTTGGCAAGTGCATACTTCATTCAAGGTACTGGACCAAGCAGCATTAGGTGATAAGTAGGTATGAAAGTGCTGAAAAAAACTAGGGAAAAGGTCTCCAGCTCTGGCGATTGGTTTTGATTATTCCTCAGCAATATAAGCATCCAAAGAGATGACCTCATCTATTCCACAGGCATGACCAGAGATGATGGCCCAGATGTTCTGAAATAAACAATGTGAGCACAAGCACATAGCTGCAGAGCCCTGTAATCACCCAAGAAGAGCTTAGCCCACGCTCCTGTAAACCACAGTAGAGGCTACATCAGAAAGCAACTGGAAGCTTTAACCCAGCCATGCTGTTCTTGGGTTCCTATTGCACAGATGGCCCCAGAAACACCCTGCAAAGTGTTATCACCCAGGGAGGATGTAAGCACAGATCCTCCTGTCCACAGAGTTCTGCCAAGGACTGAATTTTCTGCTATCTCCATTACTATAACATTTGTGTCCCTCCACTGGGAATTTACATTTTCTTGAGTCCGAAATTCTTTTCTCCAAATTT